TTTTGCTTGGGGCGGCCAAAAAGCCAGAGCCGGCCCTGCATGTAGCCACTCAGTTCTGACTCCATCCCAAAAACTATTGCACAGACTGGCTGTGATCTTTAAAATCCTAAATAATTGTACTAGGTGTGATTTTCATCCCCGCTTGTTTGGGTTAGGCGGGAGTGTGGTTGAGTTGAGATTGGTGAAGAAATATGGAGCTTTTCACCTTTAGTGCCGAGCACTGTAATCTGTAGAGATCAGAGGTGGTTATGCAAAGTCCGATGTGAAATGAGCATTAATGAGGAGTACCGGTCTCCAGGAAACACACCACAAAACCCATCGCTGCTAGCCCCTGCCTTGTGGTATGCTCTGCAGAGACGAAGGACTGAACTTCCCCCTCACTTCAAAGTCACAATTGAGGCACTTGCCTGGAGTGGTCCAAGGACGCTGGCAGCACGATCTCTGCCTGTGCTGACAAAGCCTTGGATCTCTGAGCCATCAATCTGGCACCTTTTGCAAACACAAAACTGACTTCACTTTGTATTTGAAAGCATGGATTCTTTTCCCCCTCTCCAGTTACAAAATACAAAGTTAAATCCCTGTGCCAGAGCAGAGGAATCCAGACCCGTGAAATTCAGGGGATGTAACAAAAGGGTGCATTGTATTTCACTGACCGGCTGGGTTTTGCATCCAGCTGCAATCACCTCATGACGCTGTGTCTATTGTTTCCAAGAAACTTGGTTTCTTTGCTGAAGGTGCCTGTGTGTACGTTATCTAGACATGTGTCTCTCCGAGTGTAGGGCATTAGGACTTGAAACTCACCAGATGGGATGCACGTCACCCTGTACAGCTCAAGCGATAAATCCCTTCAAAGCCATTTACCTGCACAGTCAACTCTCTACAGAAAAGTCTCTTTATTATGGTAGGGAGTGATTCATTGATTTTGAATTAACCATAGCCCCAAAGAGCCGCTATTGACTGCTTTTTTAAATGAAGAATTAATTTAGTCTTTATGGAAGTGCAGAACTAAGAACACTGACTGCACAAGGCTCTGTATAAGCGTCTCCCATGCAACACTGCCAGGGCACCTGTTGATGTAGCCTGTAACACCTCTGTTCCTTCACTCCTGCACCTCTGCTTGAGCTGGGGCTGACAATTGCATGGGGGAGTTGGAATGTGCACAAGTCAGGACAAGGCTGAGTGACTGCCAGAATCGTTTTCCCTTGCAATTTAATTTGGGATTTGCACACAGATCTATGGGATTCAGAGGCTCCTTCCCCTGTCCACCACACCCCACAGTTCTGCACGGGAAAGTACAATGTTCTCTAAGCCATTTTTAATACGAATGGTTTACCAGCCTCTGTTGTTTAACCCTTTCTATTCCCTCCCCTCAATCCAATAAACTCCATTCAAAGGGCCTGTTACAGGGCTGCCTGCCCTACCTGCACCCTCTCCTGACCAACTCTGGTGCTGCAGGTACACCCTGCCTCAGTCGCCATTCCCTCAGGGCCCTTTAAGAACTCCACCCAGTCTAAAGGGGTGTCAGACAAAATTCCCCTGCAGAGGTTCTACTTTATTAAATCCCAAAATAAAGTTGAAATAGTGTCTCCCCTTGGCTCAGGGATAACACAACCCTCCTCCTTGGGGCCTGTGGTCTCTGGGACCTCCTCTCCCTTAGGAGAGCTTCTCTCTCAGTGACCACCTTCCCGCAACTGAGCCTAGCTGGCCTTTTGTCAGGCTCCGCTGTTCATTATTCAATTAGCTGCCTGGACAAGCTCCCTCTCCTTAAATTAGCTCACCCTGGGTGGTCTAAAAGGAGCCAGCAACCCCTTGAGAGAGCTCCATCCTGCAAAGTGCTGAATTTCCTCAGTTCCCACTGAACTCACAGACTAGAACCCCAGGGGGAAGTTGGGAAGAAGAGAAATGGCTCACAACCTGAGAGGGTGCTGATTCCTTCCATCAGACCCCTTCCTGTCCAATCTTCCCAGCCAGGCCCAACAGCTCTGGCTGCCACTGTATTAAAGTCCTGCATGCTCTGATGCGCCTTTTAAATAGGGCAGCCACAACCAGGGGCCCAGCAGAGCAGCTGTTGCACCTACTGGACACTACAAGTGGATCCTCCAAGGCTTGGTCTAAATTCACAGATGTGAGGGAGTGGGGTTAGCCTGACAACCCTCTCCCCCACACACATTCCCACTTTTGGTTGTTTTCCCAAAATGAACCTTTTGAATTTACTTCTACATTTTAGGGGTCCCTACATTTCCTTTCTTTAGTCTGCTCTTCATAAGTATGGTTCATGTGGAAAAATCCACCTTCAAAACTTTAAAATTACCATGCAGGACATATTTTGAGTTCAGAAGATGATTAGGTTGCCATGGAGATGTGCTCAACTCATGGTAATAGTTGATGTTTGTTCACTCATCCACTTATCTCAGTTGCACAGCACATATAATTTGTTTGGAACACTTACCGTCTGTTTCCTTTGGCTTCCAATAGTTAGCAATGTTAACACTCACATTTGTAACATTCTAACATGCCCATTGCAAAGAACTGACCAGAGTTGCTGCCTTTTAAGGCCTGAGGGCATCATTTGGCAGGAGAAAATCATGTTTCTCCATTTAACCCAGATAGCAAGAAGCTTCTCTCACGTTTTCCAGAGGCATGCACACCAATCGGACCCATCCTCCCCCATGCACAAGTAGTTCTGTTGATCATTCTGGCCAGTTTCCTACGTTCTTCATAGAACAGAGTGTGCACCTTCGGGCTGGTCTTTCCAAACCTGAATGAAGAAGCCTCACGTTTTCCACCGGTGGAGCTTGGCTTGGCCTCTGAGGATGTCATTGGTTTACAAAGACCCCTTTTGATTTGACCACCTTACTTATTCTAGTGGCTTAATGTGAGCAGTGAGGCTGTCATTGGTGGACTAGTATTATCAAGTGGTTGTAGAGGTACTAAACGTTCTTAAAGGGGTGTGGGCATATGGCCCCTCCTCAAGAAACTATTAATTGATGACAGACGGCTCACTAATTACCACTGAATGCCTAACCGTGCCTTTTATTGGAGAAGGTGGTCTAGGTGCATCTGGATACCAGTGACATTCTGGGTAGCATCCAGTCTGCATTAAGGCCTCTTTTGGATCAGAGAATGCATTTGTCACTATCACGATCACTGCCAGAGATGGTCATTTTGTTTACACTGGACCTTTCAGCACCTTCCAATAAGATTAACCACAGGCTGTTGCTTTCGCAACGAATGGATTTTGCCAGTATGGTTAGGACGGTCCGTCGAAGGATCCAGTCACACCTGGAACTTAGTCAGGATGGATAGTAACTGAAGAGTACTAGGTTGCATCTTTCAGAAATGCAAGCATTCTCCTGGGGTGCTCAACATGTGTGTGAGACCTCTTGGTGAGATTATTTCTAAACACAGGCTGAAACCGCATCTGGATGCTGATGAGACACAGCTGCTGTACACCTATTGCCTCATGCACCCTGTTAACTCAGTCTTTGAATCTCTGCCCTGGAGGAATGCTTGCACAATATCGCCAGCTGGATTCATCTGATTTCTATCATTTACATATTCAGTAAAAAGGAGAGGAGGCTGCTTTTTCCTCTCTTCTGCCTTCATAAAGGACTATTTGGAGGTAACGAGCCAAGGTAAGAACCTTTGCATCCCTTTCATACCACATTCAACATGGGCTTTCAATGGGAAAGGTCATGGTGATAAGTGGTTTTCAGTGGTGCACTTTTCTTATGCCGTTATCCTTGTTTATTGGCAAGGTTGTCATGAAATTATGATGTGCCGTCCCTTCAAGGAGGTCTTCCAACAGTGCTTCTTCATTGCCTGAAGCTGGGGGAAGCACAATCAATCAATGGGTGAAATCATATTACACTCACTGCCTACAAAGTGGTGAATTCATTTCACAGTATCTCTGCTGGTTTTTATGTATTTAATTATATAGACCTAGTCTCTGTGTATGCAAACACCTCCTCCTTGGGCCCCCTGCGGATGGATATTTGCATTCTGACATCAGTTTCTATTTAGGCATTCTGCTACTGGGGCTCAGCTTGGCAGGTGATCATAGCTTTATAGCTGGTGGGCCCTGTGATGTGAAACCATCTCACTCCCCACTTCTAAGAGACACTGAGAACTTTTCCGTTCCAAAGGCAGGTGTTTTGTTTTGACCCCTGTTGGCCCCACTCTAAACTCGTATGTTAAAACATATGTAGTTCTGACTTTTTGTCAGGCTAAGGAAAACTCTCTGAACCACAAATAACCCAACCTCACCAACCACCCCTTAAGCAGAAGGCTGAATGATCAGACAGGCCTTTCCATTTGC